CAGAAGGTCTTCCTCTTCCAGAGAGGACAATAACTTCTTCTCTGCCCTGGGGACCATGCGGTGCCTCCCACTTCCTGCCTGAGTCATCTCGGCTATCCCCCTTGCCGGTTACTGACGCTGTGAGCGAGCCCAGCATCCTGCCTGTGGGGAACCAAGCCTCCTGCTCTGGCTTTGTTGAGCGCCTGTGACCCCTGAGCTGAAGAGCACTGAATGTTTCTGTGGGTTTTATTTCCAAGATACTGCTCCCAGAGGTATTGGCCTGTATGTTTTTATGTCTTAACTTGTGGTTATGTGCATTATATATTTCTTTGGAGTTAGTTTCTCCTACAACTCAATGTACTATTAATCAGGTAATTTCTGTGTAGGTACAAATGTGGCTGGAAAGATGGCTGGCTGCTGGGTTTATTTATTAGTGGAGCAGAAACTTGGGGAAAAGTCCATTTTGACCCTGGTCTTTGACTCAGAGCCCAGCGAAGTCTCATCTGAGAGGCCAGTTGATATTCCAGAGGCTGGCAACATCATACATTGATGACTAGACAGCTTGTCATCCTGGGCCACAGAAGTAACAACTGTTTTTAAGGTTTGGCCAGACTTCATATTCTCCATTCTTTCCATCGCATGTTATATGGAATGCACACGATGCCATTTAATTACTTCAGTCCCTTTCTTAAAGGAAAAAGACACTGGACCAATATTCCAGCAGTACTAGTAGTTTGAAAGTTTACTCAGTAATTTTCTTTGCAGACTTAGTAGCTGTAAAGATCTCGTTTATATTTTTGTGGTATTAATTAATTTCAAGTGCAGTTTTGGCAGACAAACCAAGGGTCTCAACAGGCTGCATAGAATGGGTGCTATTTTTAAGGCCATCATCTCAGTGAAGCTTTTTCCAAATGAAATTCAACAGGAACCAGCCTTTATTTGGACTGTACACTCAGTAAAATGCTCAACTTTTGTAGGCATGTCAGCAGTTCTTACAAAATAAGTTGTATGTGCCTTTTATTACTGTGCTTATTAAGTGTAGACTCAGGAACGTAGGTGTTCTTGTTTTTGCCACTGTTTCATTTTGGAAAGAGGCAGTTGATTCATTCCCTAGAGAAAGATGGCCATGGAAACGTAGGACACATAAGGTCAGTCACACAAAGTGGCCCTTGGTGGAAGTGCTATCATGTGGTGATGTGGTCCTGTGCTACCTGGCACAGTAGCCACTGGCTACTGAGCACTTAAAAAGCAGTTGGTCCGTGACTTCCCTGGTGGCACAGTGGTTAAGAATCTGCCTGCTCATGCAGGGGACACAGGTTCGAGCCCTGGTCCGGGAGGATCCCACATGCTGCAGAGCACCACAACTACTGAGCCTGTACTCTAGAGCCCGTGAGCCACAACTACTGAGCCTGCCTGCCACAACTACTGAAGCCTGCGCACCTAGAACCTGTGCTCTGCAACGAGAGAAGCGACCGCAGTGAGAAGCCCGCACACCACAATGAAGAGTAGTCCCCACTTGCCACAACTAGAGAAAGCCCGTGTGCAGCGTTGAAGACCCAACACAGCCAAAAATAAATAAATAAATAAAATAAATTGATTAAAAAAAAGCAGCTGGTCCAAGTTCATACTAACTTGCTAGGACTTCATATAAAAAAAGAATATAAAATATCTCATTAATAATTGTTTATATTGACTTCATGTTGAAATGATAATGTTTTGGGTTGATGGGTTTAAATAAAATATATTATTAAAATTAATTATACTATTTACTTTTTATTAGAAAATTTGAAATTACAGGTATGGCTCTCCCCTAACTGGACATCTTGCCACAGTTGCTCAGGACTCTAAGAGCTGGCACAGGTTCTGGGGTGTGTGAATGGACTGCCTATTCCTGGTGGGAGCCCTTTTGCCATTTTTTAAGGGTCTTAGGCAATTTCTTTCAGTGTCTCAGTGATGTGACCTCTGAGTCATGGCCATGACATCTATTGTCCACGCAACAGTCATGTCAGGGCTGCTCTGGGAGCTGGACCCCAAGAGCTTGAGCAAGTCACCCACCCTTCTCAACCTCATCTGTGAAACAGAGTTAGATCGAGGATCAACAGTGAATAGTTAGGGCACATTGCAGGGGTCTCATAACTCCTATCCTTATTTAGGATAACTGGAGGATGAGGAAACAGAAAACAAAACCATGTATATATATATATATATATATATATATATATATATATACTTTAATCGCCAGTTTTTCTTTTCTCTGAAAGTGTACGGATGTTGGGATGAGAAAGCAAGATGAGAAGGCCACACAATATTATCAGCAGTGCTTATCTGACAGGCAGTAATTTGCATTTGAATTTTGGAGGAATTTTATTTTCTCAGTTCTAAGTTCTGTTCCCTGGTTTTCTATGTGCACTGTAATTATCGGAACAGAACAGGACAGTTGACTGTCTGCGTGCACTAAAGGGAGTACATGGCTGCCTTGCTGAAAGCCCATCTCCTGCCATCAGTGCACGTGCAAACACTGATTGTTTACAGTTCAGAATCTGGTGGTCCTGAAAGACAGTTCAATTGAAAATAAACTTGACCACATTTTGATATGATTGACAAGGATGTAGAGGTAGCAAAGAGAGCCGCAAGGTCTGTGCGGGCTGATCACTCAGCATAGGATAGAGATTTGACACCCTCCTCGAGGGTGTCAAATCGGATGCAGGTGTGTGACAAAGGGGACATTTTATGCAAGTTCCTGGTAGAACGGCCTTATTATCGCACTAAAATGGAGGTAATGAGGAAGGAATAGTTGACCAGAGAGAACAGCATGGAAGGACCTGCCTAACATAGTGATGAGTGGTGACTTTTTTATTATGCTCTCTGGGCCTCAGCCATATGAGATCATAGAAATGAGAGATGGAAAAGACCTCCTGTATTAGGTCATCCAGCCCATCCCCTCCAGAGCTGACTGACCCCACAGTGTGCTTTCCAGAGCTCCGTCCAGTTTTTCAAGTGACTCAACTGATGGAGTTTCCACCAGCTCCCAGAAGGTGCAGAAAGGTGGTGTCTGAGACAGCTAACTTGGATCTGGATTTATTCTTTCTCATGACGAAGATCCCAGCGATGATGCTTTGTTCAAAGAGAGATGTGGGGGTGAATCCCACCTCTGTCACTAGCTTGCGGATGACTGCGGATGACCCCAGCTCACCTCATCTCCACATCCCCCTCCAAAAGTGGGGGTGCTTTGCTGGGCTCCTTCAGTCTGAGTGTTCTAAGACTTGGCGGCGGCACCTTACATAGCACTTTATGGTTTTCACAGCTTGTTCACATTTGTGATCTCATTTGAGCCTCACCGTTCTTAGGGCAGGAGTTGATCTTATTATTCTCCTGGCCATCTCCCTGCCTTTATTGTTTCTTGTTAATCAGATGAAGCAGTTCTTCCAGGCAGTGGGTGCTGGGCCAGGTGGTCAGGCATTCCTTTTGATTCTAAGCACAGAGCTGCTTCCATTTGACCTCACGGGTACTATTATGCCTTCTGAGACACCACACGGGTACAGTTTACTCTCCTTGAGGTGTGGCCTCCTTTCCCGGCAGTAGCACTGCTCAGGATTGTCCCAGGCCACCTGTGGAACCTAGAGCTTTCTTGCCTGTGTCACCTGGTGGGACCTCTGGGAGCAGGGGGCAGGATTTCAGTGTGGAGTATGATATATTATCAATAGATTGCACTTGGGGTCCTCTGAGGTGGTCACCCAGGCTGTTCACTAGTAACATCCATCCCTGTGTGATAAAGGACTTTGAATGGCTCTGTAGGCAGGTTCATCCACTGGGAGTTAGTAAGCAGGGCACCAAGGGCTCATCTTAATAATTCAGATTCTGCAGTTCCTTTTTCTTGACCTAACCAATGATCTGAAACTTTCCCTAAAAGAAAAGAGGTATTAACATTCATTGCAAGTAGTTGGTCATTAAGATTTCTCTTAAAATCATTACTTTTTGTTTCGGCTTGGGGATATTAAATTTTTAAACCAAGGTTCAGTAAGTATGTAATTAAAGTGCATTTCACAATGCAACTAGTCCCAATAGAATTGTAATACAGTGCTGCTCTTAACTAGTTTATGAAACTGTATGAAGTATGACATGAGTCACAGAAATGGGGACGAGGAGCTGCCATCCAGCCTGGTCGGCTCCCTTGGTCTAGCCATGCTGGAGCAGCCCTCCATGCTGTGGGCGCCATCCTCCCCTGTGGCATCACTGTGTGTTTATGGCATTTCTGAGTGTCCTCCACGTGTCTGCGCCCACAGATATCCTTTTTGCCTCTCCACAGAACCCTGCCGTCTCCCAGTTTTTCTCAGTAGGCCCACGGGGTTATGTTGTGTAACTGCTTCATCACCTTGGGTTATTTGTGCTGTGTTTTGTTCTGCCTTTTGTATTTGTATGTGAAATATTTCAAACATGTAGACAAAAAAGTGTTTTGCCTTTCTTCTTAAATTTTGTTTTTCCAGCTTCAGTCTGCAGTTAGGCACTTGGATGCAGAAAGGTAATGAAAACAATGATTGGGTGAGAGCTGGAACTCAGATCTGAGTTGTAGGATCCAGATCCCTGGTTCTGCCCTGTGCTGCTACTGTTTGCAGGAATTCCACGTGGATGTGGTAACATTCCCAGCAAGGCTGTCAGGGTTGGTGAAACAGCAAACCGTGGGTTGGAAACAGCAGTGCCGCAGGGGTGCATCTCCTGGGGCTGTGTGGTCAGTCTCCTTGCTTATGGCTTGGAGCAGGGCCAGAGAGCAAATACATCATCTTCCAACAGCTCTACCTCACTGAAGGTCAGTGCCAGAAAGTGGCAGAACTGAGACCCAAACCCAGGGTCAGAGCTGCAAGCTCTGGCTCTGCTCAGAGTGTTCATCATTCCCATTGACTTACAAATTTTCTGTAATTTTCTTGTAATTTTACAAGTACTGTAAAAATAACGGAAAGAAATATTGTCTGTTTTTGAGAGTATAAGAAAAGGCACCCCTCCTATCATTTGTACTTCCCTTGCAGATCCTGAGGAAACTAAAAGATCTCGCGTTGGATGCCGAATCAGAGCTGGAGAGACAGGATGAGGCCTTGGATGGCATCACTGCAGCTGTGGACCGGACAACCTTAACCATTGACAAGCATAATCGACGAGTGAAAAAACTGACCTAGAAGGACAAGAAAGCATAGAGGTGACTGCTTTTGTTGAGAATCACTTCTCTGAGTACGTTGTTCTCAACTCCTGCATGCTTCCTTTGAGATGAAGACCCCAGGAAGTCATTCCAAGCGCCCTGCCCCAGGAGGTGCACAGCTGCCTCAGGGTGAAGGGCTGCTTTTGACAGCTGTGAGCAGCTTAGCTTGGGGTGATTGTGGCTTCCACCAAGGGATTCCCTTGCAGGGAGCTGAAAGTGCAGCTGAAGGAGAGGAGTTCTGCCTGCAAATACAGCGAGCCACTTCCTCCCAAGGCCCTCTCGGGCTGCTTGTGGAGTCAGGAGCACACACGCATTCAAACATGGGCTGAGCCCTATTGAGGTGGCCACGACAGCAAGGTGGCTCTTCATTCTGAGGGTGGGCTGCACCCAGCACTCAGGGACCACTTTGCTTGGCCACAATCCCAGGTCTCCAGTGGCACAACTAGCTGCATTTTCATCCTTTTTCCACTCTTGATAAGCATAAAAAGGTTGGTTTAAGTCTCTGTGAAAGAAATCTACTTATTTCTAACCCTCTGCCTATCTGAACACTCTAGGCATATCCTACGTCAGCAAAATCTCTTCTCCAGGATCACATTCAGGTCTGAGCCTGCCTCTCCTACATGGGCTGCTCAGCACAGACCCCACTGCCTTCACTTTGTTCCATTTTTCTTTGGTGAACAGGTCAGTTTCTTTTTGGTTGTATTATAATTTCTAACCAAAGCTGAGTCTAGTATACCTCAAGGTCATCCTATAAGCACCTGAAATATTTTCACTGCTCAGTTTTTAGTCAAACATGAAAATAGTACATACTGCACCTATTTTAAAAAGTGTTAATTTTTGCTTTTTTGACCCATTTCTACCCAGAAACAAAAGAGAAATGCTAGCTTTAGAATATTTTTTGAAGCTATGCGTTGATGCTGCTTTTTGCTTGGTTTTGGGTATCTTAGTGTGTCCCTGGGAGAGCCCCTCATGGGGAGACAAGAGGAAAGTAGAGAAGTGGGTGACCTCCCCCGATTCTCACAACAAGCCACCTCCAGACTGCTTTGAAATAGCATCCCAAAGAACCTTGCACAGAGGCTCATTTAGACCTTGTAGAGATGTTACTTTGAAGCGCGTTTCCTACAGCCCTCCTGGGATGGCGCTCGCAAGCCCTGTGCTGCCCTGCTGCACCACTCCACGTGCATACTAAGTCCTGGATCGTTTTAAGAATTAATTCACAGATGCAGTGTAAGTTTTCTGGGGCTGCCCCAACAAAGTACCACAAACAGGAGGCTTACAACAATAGGAATGTACTTCCGGAGGCCAGAAGTCCAGGATCGAGGTGTAGGCAGGCTGTGCTCCTTCTGGAGGCTCTAGGAGAGGATCATTCCTGCCACTTCTAGTTGCTGGTACCTCCATGTATCCCTGAGCTTATGGCCACATCACCCCAATCTCTGCCTCCATCGTCATGTGGCCATCTTCCTGTGTTTCTGTGTCTCAAATCTCCCTCTCCTCTCTCTTACAAGGATCCATCCTAATCCAAGGTCATCTTATCTTGAGATCCTTACCTTGATGACATCTACAGAGACCCCATTTCCAGATAAGGTCACATTCAGAGGTTCCCAGTGAGTATGAATTTTGGGTCACCTAGGGATGCCCAGCCTTGTCATAGCTGACCCATTCCAAAAAGACATGGAAAGTAGCACTTTTAGAAAGTAATGTTCATAGGAGTCTTTCAGTTCTTTCCTGTTTTGCAATTTGGTATATTATATTCCTAGTCTCTGTTTGTCTTACTTGGTTAGTACTTACCAACTTCCAAAATGACGGGTGGACCTGTTCTGTCAAGGTTTCTCACGCTAATGCAGCATGTGAGCAGTTTGCTCTTGACCTTTCCTGGCACATCAAGTGATGGAGCTCTTGGAGCTCATGGTCCTTCCAGGGGGTCTGAGCCCCATGCAGCCCCTTCTAGTGCTTGATGACAAGGAGGTCGGGGAGGACATGGCAGGTGTGAAGATGTGTCAGCAAGGACAGTTATTGAGAGCTCATGCCTAAAGGCAGCGGCAGCTGGATCACATCCCTAGGGAACTTGGAGGAATGCTGGAGGAAAGGCAGCTCGTGCCCTGGGCACAGGGCAAGTGCAGGTGTGCAGGCTGCGCCCAAATACTGTAGCTTCTCACAGCAGCCCATGAAGAGTGAGTTCCCCTGAGGTAGAGTATGTGGTTCTCACCGTGGCCACACACTGGGCTCATGCCAGGAACTCAGAAGATACAAACACACACGCACACACACGTGCACTGACCCCAGACCCCTCAGTCAGAATCTCTGAGGGTATATACATTACCCAGATGTTTCTAATGAGCAGAAGGGGAAGATCCACAGGCCAGGTGACTTACTGCCACTAGACCTGCTCTCTCTCTACATCTAGCTCTAGAGAGCCCTGAACAGCTGAAATGAAAACGAATCTGTCCCACTCATGATGCTCTTCTGAATCCAGGTGGGCACTGCTCAGGAGTTCCCAGTGCAGCCTCCAGCAGCCAGCCAGCCTCTGCTTGTCCTGAAAACAGATACCACCCAGCACTCATGTGGCATCAGGGCTGTACACACCTCGGCTGCTAACAGGCCTCTGGAAAGCAGGGGGCCAGGGCTCTTGGTGATCCCTCGCCAGGAGCAAGCCCTGAGCTCTCTGGGCCTCACGCTCTCCTAATCCATCACCTGGGGATGCATAAAGCCCAGACACTCTGGGCATGAAGGTGTGTGGTACAGAAGACATTGTACTGCTAGAGGATTATTCTCTGGGCCTTTTCTCTCCCATGAATAGTTAAATTGATAGAGACTATGGTCTGTTTATGTGGAGACTTAGAGTGTAAAAAAAAAAAAGGCCATCAAGGGCCATTTTATGCTATTTTTTTTAACCTTGGCCCTAGAGTTAACTTTTTTAACCTTAAACCCTTCCAGTAGCAGAAAATCCATGTGCCAAACTGTTAGTCACCAAGGCTGAAACAAAATTGCCAGGAACCGTATAACACCAGGCATTGATTCCCACGGCACACTGATTCCCCACCCCAGGTGCACTAATTCCACCTCCCATTGCTCCCTCAACTTATGGTGCACTGACTCTGCCTCCACACTTCAGACATGGGAAGGACACGAGGGGGAACAGATATTATGATGCTCCTAGAAGCAGTACCAGGGGAAGGAGATGAGCAGGTAGGCTGGTGATCTCTCCTGCCATCCTCAGGCAGCCCAGGTGGTAAGTGCCGTGATGGTTAGAACCAAGTGGATCCCATCAGGTGAGTAGACCCTCTGGAGAGTGGCAGGAAGGGCACACTGAGCCTGTTGGCATCATCATTGCTGGTGTTTGGATCAGGACCTATTGTGTCTCCTGTTTTGTTTTTTACTTTCCTGATGTGGAGTATGTCCTCTAACATTGACATTAGGTTTATGTGTGGGGTCAGGCTCACCCACATGAGTACCAAACTCTATTTGCCGCTGTTTAGCCTGTGACTGAGGGAATTATGAGGGGATTATGTTAGTTTGTTGTCACCCCATAAGGTGTTTGTACTTCCTAAAACATGTAACACTTTGAGCTCAGTTTTACACTCTGTAGAGGTGGGCAGAATACAAGACCCACGTCTGATGCAGCTGTGAGACCAATATTGAGCTGAAATGAAACTGCTTTGACATTTCATCAAAAATGGCTGATCCTTTTGTTTGTTTTGTTTCTATATAAGGGTCAGGTAGAAAATATTTCATCTTTCAAGCCATATGGTGTCTGTTGTGAACAAATGGCCATGCTATGTTCCAGTAAAACTACCTGTGAGATTAGAATTTCATGTATGTCATGTGTCCTGAAATGTTATTCTTGTTTTGATTTTCTTCGTTCAACCATTTGAAAATTCAGACATGTCCTTAGCTTGCAGACCATAGGAGAACAGACTGCAGGGCTTTGTAGTCAGCTGCCCAGGTGGGTGTGTTCCTTTTGAGGTTTCACATAAAGTTCTCCAGCATTGTCTGTCCTGGAGGGCAACTTACTTCCCTCCTCAGCCCCAAACTCAAGCATGGCCTGAGCTCTTCACATGCCACTGCTGCTGGTGGCCAAAGCTGAGCCTAGGGTTGCGGCTGGGAGGGTTCTGGGTATTTTTGCCATAAAAAATAAAAAGGGCATAATGAAAAAGACAAAAATGGCATAATGAAACATGAAAAATTAATGACAAAATCTTTAAAAGATTTTATTATGGGAAAATGAAAATACTAAAAATATTTTAATACAATTAAAATGTGTGTAGATTCATGGTTATAGTTGTATTTGGGTATAACTTAGAGGAAGTGATGATACTTCCTTTCTCAAAGTCAGTCATTAGGGATTCAGGATCTAATGTCAGTTGTAAGTTCTTTACGATATAAAAAAATCTGTTGTCTCTTCAGATTTTTCTGGAAGTAAAATAACAGATGAAGGATGCTATTTCTTATCAATATATTTCTTGTGTATAACTGGTAGTACATATCTGGACTACATTTAAATGTTCCATCACATGTCCAGTTCTTATATTTAACCAAATCATCTAGCAAGATCTGTGCCAAATGCCAAAATTCTGGTTACATCATGTACTCCGCTATCAAATAGCAAAAACGTTTCACCATTTTCAAGAAACTTATGCTCATCAGGAATCATGTAACCATTTATTTTTGTGAGGGATAGGAGGTCCTAGATTCTTCTTTTCCCTCCAACTTCTAATATTGCATAAGTTTGGTAAAGAAAGCAGAGAACAAGCTGCCATATCTAAATTAGCTAAATAATCGATAATTAATGCCCTCAAAGACTGTTGTGAATTAGTTACTTTATCTTTTATGGCACAGTTGCCGTACAGCCAATTAGTTGTGTGACCGAAATGCTTGCAGCAAAGATGCTTACAGCAAACATACCGGTCATAGGCTGGGAGACCCCTACCACCTTGTTTCTTTACTGTGCTCAGCTGTTCAGAGCCTCAAAGCCTGCACTGATGGCACAAAGTCAGTCCTGTTCCTTTTAAAGGCAGAAACAGGAAATTGTAGAGAGAGGGGAGTGAGATGGGAAATGGCAGGTACTGGTTTCCACAAGTGATCTTCTCTGGAGGCCCCAAATCAGCACACACACAAATTTTAGGAGAGAGGAAAAAACAAAAGTCAATCCTTGAGGGCTTCCCTGGTGGCGGAGTGGTTGAGAGTCCGCCTGCCGATGCAGGGGACACGGGTTCGTGCCCCGGTCTGGGAAGATCCCACATGCCGTGGAGCAGCTAGGCCTGTGAGCCATGGCCGCTGAGCCTGCGTGTCCGGAGCCTGTGCTCTGCAATGGGAGAGGCCACAACAGTGAGAGGCCTGCGTACCGCAAAAAAAAAATAAAAAATAAAAAAGTCAATCCTTGAGACATTTTCAAATAACACAGGGAACTCAACTATATGCAGTCAGTTGGGGTGGGGGCTTTGGTTTTGGGTTTGATGAAATGGCCTCTTGGAGACACTTGTATTGATTGGGGCCTCAACCCTGGCATGAGACTACACGACAAGCAGGTGCCTCCAAGGCCCCACTGGTCTCACCTGTGAGGAGCCCTCTCCCCTTTCACTGATCCCAGTTTAATTATTAGCTATGGGTTTGAATAAAACTTGAAACACTTGCAAGTTGTAATCAGTTTTCACATTTGCAACTGATTTCCACAGCCACATAATATCTCAAGCTTTTGGCACCCATCTGGAAACTAAGAACAGCAGTGGGTTTGCTCAGGAGGTAATTTTCCCTGATTCATTTTGAAAGTGAAAAGTCACAGGGTTGGTCCTTCAGCTAGGGTGGTCCTGCTTCCCAAAAGGACTGCTCAGTCTCATCCCTCAGCTTCCTCAGTGAGAAGTAGACTGGCATGGGCAGAGTGGGGAAGGCATAGATTCAGAGACAGCAGGAGCTGCTCGCCAGCCCAGGAGAGCCATTCAGGGGACACATGCAGTGTCCAGGTGAGGAGACCCAGGCTGCAGGGGTGGGGAGCTATGAGCAGGACCATGGCCAAGGCTGTGTTCTGTGGGCCTGACTCATGTCCTGGGCTCTCGCTGGTTAGGCAACCGAGTCCAGGCCATCCCATCATGAGTGGCTACTGTCCTGGGGGGCACTGGTGCTGCACTAACTGTCCAACATGTTCTCCCACCAGGTCTGAAGCAGAACTTGTTCCTCAGAGCCCTCTGGATTTTACTCTTATCACCTATCACAACCTCTGCCCCTTTGTCTCACCCTGGGGAGGCAAGTGTGAGCTAGGGAATGGGCAACTCACTTCCCCCATCTATCCCTTCTGGAAGTCGGAGGGTTAGGGAGATCTAGGGCATGTTTCCTAGAATGAGTAAAGGGCAGGGTGCAGAAACCCAGCTGTACATGAAGGAGGGTCAGGGCCTCACAGGTGTCCCAGGATGCCTCTTTCTCCACACTCTTAGGCTGCTTCCACCCATCAGCAGTGGCTGTTCTGTTCCCACGCCTGGCCCATGGAGCTGGTGCTGAGAGATTAATGAGGCTGGCCGTTTTTTAGAGGCTCAGGGCAGATGCCTTGGAAAGGGGTGGGAGGTGGGGTGCAGCCATTGGGCTCCCACACCATGGAAGGTGAGGAAAAGCAGAGAATGCACAGCCTTGTGAAGTCCCTTGGGTGTAGTTGTTTGGACCTTGCGCTGCATTTTCCAATGGAAATGACGCTCTAGAGGGCAGTCTGTTTCCTAATGTGATGGCAGCATTGAGATGCACAGCATGGGAATGAAGATGATAGGGATGGGTCAGAGGGCAAGGCCAGGGATCCCATTCCCAAGTGCCCAGTAAGTGGGTCATCTGTGAATCAAACACTCAAGTCTGCTCATGTGTGCTTGCCTTGCTCTGAGTGCTTACCTTGCTCTGAGTGCTTACAGAAGCTCCCCAGAGGGGAGCTCTGTTTACCTTTCTTATGGGCAAGGAAACAAACACCTAACTCCCACCCAGGGTCTGCACTCAAGCCTCTGGGGGCTGCTGAGATCCTGACTGCCCAACAGGAGCAAACCCACAGGAAGGACTGTGGGGAGAAGGGAAAGTGTCCCAGGTCGTGGGTGTGGTCTGGATGAGCCAGGGTTACTTACAGATCCAAACCCACCCATTTATGCCCCATCTCATAGAAAACTGGTTTCTTTTCGGAAGCAGTAGCTGCCTGCTAAACTTTCAGACCACCTTTCTTACCAATTGGCTTGTTCATGTAGGACATTGCCTTGGTGCAGGAGGGTCACAGAGAGGGGTTGAAGCAGTAGCTGGGGAGGCGGTGAGATGCCCTCTGGGACACTCACTGTCCTGATCCCTCCAGCTTAACCCCAAATCAGGAGGTGCCTGAACCTGGAGCCTCACTCACTCTGTGTGCTTGCTGGAGTGTGCGGTCATGAGGAAAGACACCATTGCATCTTGTTCAAGCCCACTCTGACCTCTGGGTCCTATGAAGTAAGCACTCTGCCCTCTTGGCATCATAAGCTAGCCTGAGGCTGCTCACAGCTCGACCCACTCTTGCTTGCTTAGCTCTCCCTTGTCACACTGCCCAGCACAGAAACATCATCATGGGTGGGGTCTCCCTGTTACTCTGCCCTCAGGGTCCACAGACCTCAGCATGGGTGGGTTCTCCCCATCACCCAGCCCTTCACTCTTACCAGACCTTACAGCATGGAGTAGGGTCTCCCCCTCACCTGGCCTGGCTGCAAACTGTACAAAAGAGCAGATGGAGGTGTATGATCTTCCTGGGGCTGCTATAACAAAATACCACGAACTGGGTGTCTTGAAACACCAGAATTTAAGCTCTCACAATTCTGGAGGTCAGAATTCTGAAATCAAGGTGTCGGCAGGGCCCTGCTCTCCTCAGAGGCTCTAGGGGAGAATTCTTTCGCCTTTCCACCTTCTGAGGCTACGTCTCTCCATTTCCACTGCATCTTCGCATTGCCTCTTCCTCTTCTGTGTGTCTGTCTCAAAATTCCCACTGCCTCTGTCCTATAAGGACACTTGTCAGTGGATTTAGCATCCACCAGGCAATCCCGCGTGATCTGCTCATCTTAAGATTCTTAACCTAACTGCATATGTAGAGACACATTTTCCAAGTAGGTCATATTTACAGGTTCCTGGAATTAGGATTGGACATATCTTTTGAGGGCGACAGTTCAGCCTATTATAGTCTGCCTGCTGTTCCTCCTAAATTCACATTCATCCCGCATACAAAATACATTCACTCCATCCCAACATCTCCAAGAGTCTCAACCCATTATATAACAGCTCTTCATCCAAAATCTCATCTAAATATCATCAGCTCTGATCTCATCATCTGAATCATCTAAATCCAGTATTGGTGAGACTCTTGGTATGGTCCTTCTGGGGCAAAATTCCTCTCCATCTCTGATCTGTGAAACCAGAAAACAAATTATCTGCTTCCAAAATACAGTGGTGGGACAAGCATGTGATACATGACAGACTGTTCCTACTCCAAAAGGTTGGGGGAGGAGAGGGGGAGTGGAAGTTAGGAAGGGTCACCAGAGTTGCTTGTTTCCTGTCTGGCATGTGAGGAGCTGGGAAGTCGCTACTCCATCCTAACAACAATTTAAAAACTGAACAGACAGAAAATGAACAACCCTTCTTGGATCCATTAAAGAAGTGAGTTCACAGGGCAAACTTCCTAACTCATTCTAGGAGGCCAGCATTTCCTTAATACAAAACCAGACAAAGGCATTACAGGAAAACTACAGACCAATATTTCTCATGACCATAGATGCAAAAACCCTCAACAAAATATTAGCAAACCAAATCAACAATGCATAAAATGATTACACACAATGACCAAG